AAGGGAAATAAGCAGTTCACAGGGAGGTGAAAGGAGTTAATGTCTAGTGAACAAATATTTGCTGGGACATCTAGAGACAGTGGGACAGAGAGGACTTGGATCAAACAGACAGACCTTGTGAGGTTGCTCCCTGTATATCACACCTCACTCAGATTCATCTGTACAGTTGATGCTTGAACAACATGGGTTTGATCTGTGCTGATCCACTTATATGTAGATGTTTTGTCCATAAACATACAGTCTGCTCTTCATATCCTCAGGTTTCCATCAACGGATTCAACAAACCATGAGTTAAAAAAGTGTTTCTGATCCGCAGTTGGGAGTCTGTGGATGTAGAGGGCCAACTGTATGCATTGTCCTACATCATTTTATATAAGGGACTTGAGCATCCTCGGATTTTGGTATCAGTGGGGTCCTGGAACCAAACCCTGTGGATACTGCCGGATGACTTTAGTTTTGGGGGAGTCAAAAGTTAGACCCAGATTTTCAATTGCACTGGAGTCAGCATTGCTAACCCCGATGTGTTCAAGGGTCAGCTATTGTTAACTCTGGTCATAGTTTCTTCCTGGAGCAGGCTTTCCAGTCAGGGGTCTTCCCTGACCACCCTTCCGGTATTTTACCCTCCACACCCTGCACTTTCAGGCAATGACCTTATGTTTGTGGCTGGTTTCACAACCTGAGATTATCTTTACTTACCTCTTCATTACTTGTCTCCCCACTAGAATGTAAATGTCCTACACGGGGTATCGTATCTTCTTTGTTCACTAATATTTCTCGGCACCCCCAAAAAAGGTGTTTTCACATCATAAGTATGCAACAAATATTTGTTGAGTAAAAGAATAACATAGTCATATTCCAATGTTGGATTTAAGACAGTACACTAAAACATTTTTAAAGGATTTATGTAACAAAGATTCAAGCCTAAAAGTCTTCTCTATTTTATTAGGAAATTTGAGCAGAACGCACCAAGCATTTTTGCATTACTGGTACTTCAGGCAAGAGGATCCCCTTAGCCATCTGTTCCTAACTGGACCTTATTCTGTCTGCCCTCTTCCCGGTGGTACTAGGACAGTGGTCAGCAAACTGCGGCTCGTGAGCCACATGCGACTCATGAGCCGTGGTTTGCTGCTCTGTTGACTGAGTTTGCCAACCACTGCTTAGGGAAAAACAGTTAAAAAAACATTTTAATAATGTACTAATATCTTTGGCCTGCAGTCAAAACTTCTGGATAAGGGTAGATATATGGATGTATAAAAGTCCTTCGGTTGATCTATTATCTCCCCCAGATCTTCCTCCCCTCCCTGCTATAATTTGACAGTCTGCTTGTTGATATACTGTCTCTATATCTATCTTTTGGTTCATCAGTTTATAATGTTCTTTATTATCCACAAATGAGTGAGGTCATGTGGTGTTTTTCTTTCATTGACTGGCTTATTTCACTCAGCATGATGTTCTCCAATTCCATCCAGGTTGCTGCAAATGATGAGAATTCCTTCTTTTTTATGGCAGCATAGTGGACATAAAACTCTGGGGAGGGAGGGGATGTGTGAGAGGGAGGGAGGGGGGCAAAAAAAATCAATAAAATATATTTAAAAAAATAATAATAAATAAAATATGCCCTTGGCTCTTGCCTGAAAAAACAAACAAACAAACAAAAAAAACTTCTGGATAAGGGTAATGCCTTACGCAGTGGTCGGCAAACTCATTAGTCAACAGAGTGACAAACAGCAGCTCGAAAGCCGCATGTGGCTCGGGAGCTGCAGTTTTCCGACCACTGTGCTAGGACGTCTGTCCTTCAGGGTCCTTCCCTGAGTGCAGACATTCACAGCCCTCTGCATGTGCCTGCACAGCCATGACCCAAGGCCATCATATGAACGACACACCATCTGTACACATGTGTATCTGTATGTCACACACCTCTTGGACATTAAAGACCCACAGCTAGGGGACAGGGCGCAGGGCTCTTCCTCAATGATGCGTGTAGTGAAGGCTGGCTCAGCACCAGCCCTCATTATCTTTTATCTCTGGTCCTTATAGGGCACTTCATTCTATTGAGTGGCTATCATGGACACAATCTTTGAAGCTGAGAGACTATATATTTCTAGATCGTGTTGGGGGAGGAGGAATTATTGTCCCCAATATATGAGGGTTCGATTAAAATAATCAGATAGTGTAAGTGCAGAATCATTGACAGAGATTCTATTTTTGATAGGCCTATAGACAGGGGCAAATCAGTAGGGGCAGAAATAAGAAAAGAGGGAATCTGGCAGGCATTAAGAACAAGGATGGTGAAGAACTCAACGGGAAGAAGGAAAGACAAACTGTGGAGGACAGACATGCAGCGAGGTCTGAAGTCCGGGGCAGCTGGTGGCCGCCTGTGAGTGGGAGGTGGGGAGAGTCACCCTGCAGGTGCCATTGTCTGGAGGGCCTGCCGGTCTGAACTTGAAAAGACTGTGGACTGTTTTCTTGGGGAGAGTCCCCAGGGCAGGGTGATGAGCAGACCCTCGGGTGCTGATTCTAACCGGGAGGAGGGGACATATCAGAATCGGTTCAGGCGTGGAGAGGCGGTTTCCACGGTCCACCTGCACTGACTCAGAGCGCTTCCTACAGAGCCTGCCTGTTCTCCCATTTAGCCCTGAATTACAAATCGCTAGTTCTAATAAGCCACGTGCTGATGGGAGTGCGTCAGAGAGGAAAGCCAGGCCTGCCTTGGAGTAGTCAGGTACTTTCCCACTGCCCTACAGGAAAGGCACCAGCCTATTCCCGCAGGACCGGTAAGCCAGGGTCTGATTTTTGGCTCCATCCCTGCTGTGTCATTTGGATAATGAAGCCTCGGTCTCCTCAATCCCAGTTTCTGCCAAGCTGAACCGAGAGCACCAGCGAATTGCTCGAGGCTTCAGTCTGCAGGATAGAAAGACTAACTAGCTGGCTTTTACTGGAGGTAAATGCAAGATCCTTCACTTTGGCCCAGGACGTAAACTGCACATCTCCAGAGAAGGAAGCTCGGTCCGAACAGCAGCTCAATGCGCTAGGAGGAGAGATTTGAGTCACTGTTAGTTCAACAGGTGTCAGCAATGAGACTTCTTCAAAATTGTGGAGTTATTGTGTAGCTTCGTCTAGAGCAAGGGTGGGGAACCTTTTTTTCCGGCAAGGAGCATTTGGGTATTTATAACGTCATGTGAGGGTCATACAAAAATTATCAGTTTAAAAATCAGCCTGCTATATATAATCAAACATTTAATTAACTCACCCCTAATGCCTTGGCAGAGCCAGATCAAATTATTTCAAGGGCTATCCATGGCATGTGAGCCGGATGTTCCCCACCCCTGGTCTAGATCAAGGAAGGAAATGATTCTTCTGCACTCTGTGATTTGCTTCGTCTGAGGAGCCATGCTGACACTGTCCAGGAGAGACCAGAACCCTCCTTCTGAGAAGTTGTGGAAGACACTGAGCACGTTCAGTCTAACCAGAAAAGAGATGGGGTGAGGAGAGGGCCATAATAGCCGCCTTCAAGTATTTGAACGAGCATCCTGCTGAAAAGGAGCTACACCTGTTGCTTGTTGTGGCTTCGGAGCTCAGAACCAGACTCAGTGGGTGAAAAGCACGGGGAGAAAAACTTTAACTCAGAACAGAAGTTTCTAATAGAAATGTGTAAAACGTGAGAGGGACTTTCCTCGGAGGGTAATGAGTTCCTCGTTGCTGGTTGCGTTTAAATAGTGGGAAGCCCCTGGTTGTGGGCAAGTTACAAACCTCATTGCAACACCAGATTTAGATTTCCCAACTAAACTGAAGTTACCTTGGAGTGCAATTATAAAGGATATGTCAAAATTAAGACCATTGTTAAAATTAATCAAAGATCTAGGGAGGTAGAATAAACTCCAGAGCTGGAAATTACTGATTTAAACAATTGTTCTCACATTTTAAACTACATAATGAGCTAAAAAAAAAAATTATGAAGCTTCGGAATATAGCTATAAAGAGTCGTCTCCAACTAAAGTCAGAATGAAATGTTTTAGCTTTCAGAACGAAATAGCAGAACAATTACTCCCTACAGAGCGGCATAGGAAGAGGTTTCTGACCCCGGCTAATTGTTTTATTTTTCTTCAGAGGGGCCCCCTGGCAGCATCTCCCGGGGTTTGCAGTAATTACACTCCATTCACTATCTGAAGAATTACAATAATTCTACATGGGATATACTGGTGCCCTTCCGATGCAAAGTCTTTAGAGAAGCGAAAAAACAACTTAAAGTAAATTAGCAGGAAAATTATCCTAGTTACTGTTTATTTCAGGCCTCCCTATATCAGAGGCTAATTATACATTGTATGCTACAGTTTCTTGGAGGTATCTGTCATGCATTTCTCATGCCGATCAACAGACGTGCTGGTTTTTAGGATCCTTCAGGAAAGTGATGTCTGAACTTGGCCCGATCGCCTCTTGCTTCAACGCAGATACATGTCACTGAATGCTCGCCAGTCCTTGAAGCTGGAGTGGTCGGCGAAGTACAATGAGTGCTCACATATGTGTTTCCAAAGCTTTGACTCTGCCCTAGCCAGATCTGCTCAGTGGGTAGACCATCAGCCCGTGTGTTACTGAGCCCTCTTTACTTTGAGGAACTGACAAGCTACACCCTTCTCCAAATCTGGGATGGTTACCAATTCTACAAATTCAGAGTGGCCTCCGGAAGGTGAGAGCGTGTCCTCAGGAGTAAGAGTCTCAGGAACCACAGATTGCTTTCTGTGTCCCGAGGAGCAGGGCGGGGAATCACACCACTGGTGTTCCTCACGTGAAAAAAATGCCTCGTGTGCATGAGTGTGGGTGCTCTTGCAGGTAAGTGAGCAGCCTCTCCATCCGCCGGCCGCCATGGTCAGCATCTCAGCACAGGCTGTTTCTCAGGGGCCCAGGGATTGCTGAAATAAATAATGGCTTGCTTTCCTTTCGGGATTAGACACTAAGCTTACTTGCATTTCAGTCTTTTTTTTTCTTCTTCTTTTTCTTTTTAGCGCATGATTGCAAATACTGCCCGGACAGTGAGATACTGCAGAAGCCAACCTTTCAGTAAGTTCAGTGTTGCAATATGGATCTCTGGTGGTGGAGTCTTTTTTTTCTTTCTTTCTTTTTCTTTTTTTTTCTCGTGAGCTTACGGAGACATCCGAGATGTCTGGACAATATCTGATTGTCAGAGTCACTTTGGAGCATGAAATCCATGAGATGGGAGCCTAAGTTGAAGGATGTGCTAGTTGTTAAACCAGAAAATAACCCCAGGAATATTATTTTGTGAATGAACTTAAAGAGCATTCACTTGCTCCTTCCAGTGCAGCTAGAGACAAAGAAGGCCTGATTGCCCGCGATTCCTGCCTCACACCAGCTCTCGTAATGACTCCCTGCTTGATGGTGAGAAGCTCCCATCAGGTCCTGATGACTCAGTCCTGTCGTTTCGAAGCTGGGAGAGAGAACGTTTGTTCCTTGCGGTGTTGCAAGAATGCATTAATGTGCCCAGCACATTCGTAAAAGGTTCCATAGCAGGAATGGATGTTATATTGCCAGCATTCCCAGGGGAACGTAGGGTGCTCTTCTTAAATCTGAAGCCATAGCACAATAACTAGTGTAACACAATGCTTTCCTGTGAAGCTATCCGCAACAATAAATAGCCATTTGAAACTGGAGTTAAGTTGCATCATAGCACAGGCTCAGCATGCCAGACAGGTGCTACTGTTTCCTCTGGGCTGGGACTTTGGATGGGTGGGTGGGTGGGGGAGGGCTTTGGCTCCCTCAAACTGGGCTGGGAGTGAGAAGGTGGCCCCTGTCAAGGTTTCTGCTTAGCGTCATCTATGAGTCACTTGAAGTCACTTGGCTCATTAAGTCAGCACGATAACTTGACATAAGCACGACTGTGAGGCTCCCAGTGCTCCCAGTACCTTCCCCTCCAATTAGCCTGTTGCTAAGATCCTAAAAAGTCCTTGTTTCATTCCTCAGCCCTGTCTTTGCTCTTAGCACAAGACTGGCCAAAGGAAGGGTTTGCTAACATGGGATGCCAGAATTGCGAAATATTGACTTTTTTTCAATGTACAGCAGAAGTAATCTAGGCAAAATAACCTCAGCTTGGAGAGCAAGTAGGCCTTTAAAAAATCGATTCCAACGGTGGTGCCTCTCGTCCTTCCTAACTGAGAATGGCCTTGCACTTCAGCCACTCCTATGTGGGTTCTGCGAGTGCGTGTCCCAGCTCTTCCTCTGGTAACTTGCTCTGTGTTTGAAGACATGGCCACAAAGCAGTTACTCAGTGAATAGGAGGATACGTAACAAGGGTTTATAATCTAGAATCCGTGGTCCTTCTGGGGTCCAGGAAATTCCTGAAATTGCAAATATTTGTAAAATTTTGTGTGGCTGAGAAGGTTCATAGCCTTGAGAAAGTTCTCAATGAGGTCTAAGAACCATGGACCATGATAAAATATGTTTTGTTCCATAAGCCTCTTGGGAAGTAAATCCTCATCTGCCTACATTTTCTCCTAGAGCTCTGCAGGGAAATTACACACACACACACACACACACACACACACACACACACACACACATCTCTCCAGTGCATTTGTTAAAGTTATCAGTAACTGATGGTAAACAACAGCTGCTCAGCTCTGAAGTCAACAATCTATAGATAAAGTATAGGAATAGATTCATAAACATTATGGGAATATGTACAATGTAATTACAGTATATTGTACGTGTGGCGTACACTGCCAATGAGAAGCGAGAAAGCGAAGCACTGTGGTATTATTTATGTGTGATAATTATACTGATGAGTTTCTTTTTAGAGTGCGTAGGGGCCTTTATGTCTTCTCTCGGCTTTTCTGTGTTCAGACCTGCAGCACTCCCCTGCACCCCTCTGGCAGATGGCCTTCTAACTGTCTTTGGGAGTGGCATGAGCATCTGAGAAGAGGGCATGAACTGTGGAAGGCAGACGCTGTGGCAGAGAGTACACTAGTCTGGAGTCCAGACTCTGACTTGGCCACGCCTGGTGTCTCACTACTAGATAGGAGCCCCACACCAGTGATCTATGGGGCAGAGGTAGCCCAAGGACCACAGCATTTTTTTAATCTTTTATTTTAAAACTAGAGGCCCAGTGCACTGGGGGGAGGGGAGTCCCTCAACCCAGCCTGTGCCCTCTTGCAGTCCAGGACCCCTCACTCCTTATCACCTGCTTGCAGCGGAGTCGGAAAGGTTCCTGTGCTTGCCAGCTGTGATCCCAGCTTCTCACTGAGCGGTGTTCCCCCTGTGGGAGCACACTGACCACCCAGGGGCAGCTCCTGCATTGAGCGTTTGCCCCCTGGTGGTCAGTCCACATCATAGCGACGGGTTGTTCTGCCATTCAGTCGATTTGCATATTAGGGTTTTATTATATAGGATAATGTCACTGTTTAATAAGTGAGAAAATTCCCAGGGAAGACATTCAGATGTCTCATGTCTCTAGAAAAATTGGAAGATCTGGCAACTCTGTGCAGATGCAGAAGATGGGTCTGGAGGGGGCGGGGTGTCTCATTCACCACTGTCCAAGTCAGCCTTCCTCACTCATGTCTATGCCCTGCATACGGCGGGGAGCATTTGATCCTTCTTTCAGCGGGGTTTAGGGAAACCAGTCAATCACATAGCTCGGTTGCTCACATGTTTGGGGGAGTGAATGAGAATAGAATGGTAAATGAGATTTCAGAAGTTGCATCAGAGGATCAAAGGTCTAGCAGAAGTCATGACTTCACCCATGAGTTGCTTTTTTCTGGATATGAAGACCTCTAAGAACAGACAACCTGAGTAGTTACGTTGTGTGTCGTATGCAAGTAACAAAGGGAGCTGGTGATTGTAATCTTACTTGGCTTGCTTCAGGTCAGCCAGCCCGAGTTCTAAGTGCTTTTCTTAGAAGCTAACAAAAACTGTCCATCATTAGTCGGCATCTGATTCAGAGGGGCCAGAGATCAGAGTCTGAAACAAAGGCAGGATGGTTTGGGGCAACAATTTTAATGTATAACCAGGGACTCTCGGGTGTTGCTTTCACTTCTTTTTTAGTGCCTTTTTTTTTTTTTTTTTTTTTTTAACAACATGAGATGCAAAGGAAAATGATCAAAATAGGTGATTCCAGGGAAGAAAAGGGTGAGAGAGAGGAAATGGACCATCCAAGTGGAAACATTTCAATGAATACGGCATTGTTGAAAGGTCTTGATGGAACCCAGCAATATAAGATGAATATAATAAGTAGCTGGGGAAAATAAAGTGTATCTTACATGCATATGTTGTGCAATTCCAATTCTCTTTCCAACAGATCTTGACGCAGCTCAAGCTAACAAGAACCATCAGGATGTCCGGAGTTACGTACGGCAATTAAATGTGATTGACAACCAGAGAACTTTATCACAGATGTCACACCGGCTAGAGCCTCGTCGGCCATAAACATTTAAAGTGCCCAGAACAATGGTTTGCCTCCGGTCCACAGTCTTTCAAAAATGGCATTGATGCTACTGCTGACTGTATTGTCGCTAGAGAATGCTGCAAAGCAAGCAAAAACACACCCTGAGACTGCTCAGGGCTGCATTCAGCTTACCAGCCTCATGACAAGAGAAGAAGTTATTATATTTGCATCAAGCTTGCACTCTCTCTAGCATAGGAATCCCCAGTTTGTAGACACCCGGTTTCATTTACAATCATGCCACCTTCTTTGCTGAAGCATAAAATAAGACCTACATGAAGAGTTTGGTAGAAATACCATTTTCAAGAGAAATACCAAGTCTGATATTTTTTCCTAAGAATGGTTTGCAAGGTAAGATGTGCTACACATGGGATTTATTTGGATACATCAGTGGTCGTATAGTTTCATATTTTTTAACTCAACTTCTTGATTTGGAGCATGAGAATTTTGGAAGGTGTTGAGGAATTAATATAAATCCAAATTATAGGTTGTATTCTGCCATCTTTATAGTCTTACCTCTGAAGGAATTGAACCTGACCATATTCCTGTAAAACATTATGATTCTTTATATAATTTAGGGAGGACCAGTCTGTAATTTCTGAATGATATAGAATAATATTTATGTTTACAAGGTAACTTTTTTAAACTTTCAAATCAGGATTACATAATAAAAATTCCACTAAGAAACTCCAAGGTTCTTAAAATTGCCAGTGTTTAGATTAAAAATAATAATAATACCATTTCAGAAGAGCACAATATGCACAAAAATTTTTCAAAATTAAAATATTTTCCTGGGCATTAAAAATCTTTACTATTGGCTAATTATTGTTACTGATAAAAAAAAATACATATTTTCTAGATTTAATGTTATTACAAATCCTTAATTTTCAGCAATTATTTTGCACTTTCAAGTAGATTGTATATAGTTCATTCAGTTGATGGAATAGTTATTTATTTGCTACATGATAGATATTGTGCCAAATAATTACTTTTTATTTATTTTATTTAGTATGTAATTTTGGGTACATTTCTTCCTGTTTTCACAATTACGCTACATTTTATGTGTAGGAATTGTATGTATATATATATCTTCTGTAAATAACAGCAGGTAGCTTCATTAAATACAATTGTTGACAAGAAATGGTTCTATTCTCAATTCCTCTAATATGGGAGGGGTGATTATTTGGTAGAGTGGGATCCCGAATTTTAAAATTCAAATGAAACTCACATACTATAAAAGTCATTCTTTTAATGGATACTATTTAGTGGTTTTGGTATATTCACAGGATTGTTCAATCATCATCACATCATAACTCCAAACGTTCTCTTCATTCCTGAAAGAAACACATACCCATTAGTGGTCACTCCTCATTCTCTTCTCTTTCCAGTCTCTGGAAACCACTAATTTACTCTTTGTCTATGCAGATGGTCCTATAGTTTCATATTTTTTTCACTCAACTTTATTTACCTATTTTGGGTATCTTTTAATAAATGGAATCATAAGTGTAGCCTTTTGTGTCTGATTTCTTTTACTATGAATAATGTTTTCAAGTTCACACATGTTATTGCATGTATAAGTACTTTGTTATTTTTTATGGCTGAATAATATTCCATGGTACCAATATACCATATGCTATTTGTCGATTAGTCAGTGGACACTTGGGCTGTTCCCACTTTGGGGATATTAGGAAAGCTGCTGGTATTTTCAAAATGCCTATTGAGGAGCCTCCTACCATTTCTCAGTGGTTTAAGCACTTAGTAAATATTTGATTAAGAAATTTTTCAAAATCCTCTAAACTTCAGGTGTCCCTATTTTTTAATATCAACGTTTGCCAGAGTAATGTTCCAAGCTACACGAATTTCACAAGTTCACATGCTTTTTTAAAATCCAAAAACAGATACACAACTGCAAAACAAAAAAATATAACCAAATAATATCTTCACATCATTCTGAAATATTACCATATTCTGTGTAATATACCCCATTCTTAGAAATGATTCTTAATATTCATTACCATATTAAAGGCTCTGAGAAGCCCTGCTGTAATCCTTTTGATCATCCCACAGTCAAGCCCACTTTGAAAAATGCTAAAACAGGCAAATGCCTTTCTGTATCAATCACATAGCAGTTCGAGGGAGGTCCTTTGGGGAGGGATGTTGTTGCATGCAGTGTTATGCCTCACACCGGAGTAGTACACAATACTTGGAATTTACTAGAGAGAAAAAAACGAAAGTCACTGAGTAAATTTTCTTGAAGCCATTATTGTTCAGCATTCTACTGTCTCACAGGCCTCAAAACCAACTGTAAGGTTCCCACTGATATTTTTTTCATTTTCTGGATTATTTTTATAGATGACAAATAATGCCAAAAGCCAATCCCTTGGACATCCTTACTCCTGTTTTGTTCTTAGTTACACTTTCCATACTCAAGACTGATATCCAATGTCTGACAACTCCTTTCCTCCAATTCCATGGTGACTGGCCCCTTATGGTCTTATTTTAATTCAGTTTCCACATTGTTCAAAATTAACACATATTCTTCCATGTATATTGCCCCTGGGTCTTACAAATGAGAATAACTATTGCTGTACTTAATTAAAAAAAAAATAGGAGACTTTTAATTATGTCCCACTTCTTTGAAAATGTACCAACTTTATTATTCAAGGTAGCGATGGCCAAGTAAAAGCACTCACATTCTAAAGACGGAGAGCAGTAGCCAAGCAACCCTTCCGGAAGCAGGAGCTGCAGTTAATATTTTCAACCCTGCAAACAAGCAGAAAGAAAATGAGATGCCCGCAGGGTCACAGGAGGATAATGAGGTTTGCAGAAGACGTGAAAAAGAAAGAATGTTTCTACCAAAAGCACCCATAGGAAATTATACATTTAAGTGTTTAACACACCTGCTTAGCAAGGTCGCTGTACAGAGCACAGGAGCTAAGCTGTCCCAGCAATGTTTGAATACCGTGCAGGTTAAATAGACGTCGTCTGAAATCAGTGGCATTTCCTCTGAAATGTGAATGCAGATCAATGACGAACAGTGTGAGAAAATTCAAAGAAGTGTCATTCTGGTTTCCAATTGTGCTTATAATTTTCTAAAGTCAGCATAGAATATGCAGTAAGGTGAAAATGAACCCTTACTTTCAATAGCTTTTTATTTTTTTACTATTAATCTAAAAACGTTTTTTTTCTTTTCAGAATAATCTTGATTTTCTCTATTTGTCCTCCATGGAGAAGAGTGTAAGGTTAGATGAGCCTGTCACAGCATCTTTTGCCTTACAAAGGAGAAGAACCTTTAACTTAATTATTGTTTGTTATCTTTCTGTTTATTCATTCATTCATTCATTCATTTGCAAATACTGGTTAAGGAGCATACTGACTGTCAGACCTTCTTTGAGTTCATGATTCAAAGGTGAGAAAAACTAGAGGGTCCCTGTTCTTCTGGAGCTTATGATCCTACGGAAGAGACAGAAGATGAGTCAAATAATCAAACGAAAAATAAAAATAAAAACATTTCCAAGGAAGGATATGGTGTTGCAACAATATGGGGATTTAAGCTGATCTGAGGTGAGGAAATGTTTCCTGTGGAAGTGACATTTGACGTGAACTCTGAAGGATGAAAATGCTAACTCAGCAGAGGGCAGAGGAGGATACCTTCTAAGAGGAAATAACCTTTGCAGTGTGAAGGGCGGAAAGTTCACGGAGGCAGAGCAGAGTGAGCTGGGTGAGCATGCTCCTAGCTGTGCTGGAGACTGGCTCAGGGCAGGCAACATCTCGCAGACCTTTTTAAGGCACTTCCTCTTTTCCCCTAGAGCTGTGCTGGGGGTAGGGTTTGCATTCATAATGGTGGCCCTTGGAGGGCAAGGTCATGGCTTTATTTTTGTTTTGTTTTTCTGCTTTTTTTTAGATGGTGCATTTTAAAATGTTTACTTTTCATTATAGTTGCCGTACAATCTTGTATTAGTTTCAGGGCTACACCATAGTGATTCAGCACTTTTATATGCCTTACAAAGTGATCATCACCATAAATCTAGCTAGAAGCCCTCTGTCACTGCCCATAGTAACATGATACAACTGATTCTGTTCCCCAGGCCACACCCCCATCCCTATGATGGTGCTTTATGACACCACCCAGCCTATGACTCATGGTGTCATCCCTAATTCCCTAATTCCTTTATTGTGCAGGCTGGAAGGTGGGACAGAGAAAACTGTGGATAGTGGCAACCATTAAAAAACATATTAGCTGAAACCGGTTTGGCTCATTGGATAGAGTGTTGGCCTGTGGACTGAAAGGTCCCGGGTTCGATTCCCGTCAAGGGCATGTGCCTTGGTTGCAGGCACGTCCCCAGTAGGGGGTGTGCAGGAGGCAGCTGATCGATGATTCTTTCTCGTAGATGTTTCTAACTCTCTGTCCCTCTCTCTTCCTCTCTGTAAAAAACCAATAAAATATGTATTTTAAAATATATACTAAAATATTAAAAGTGGTGGATCCAGATTCTCACAAAGAATCAAACATCATCTCTCCTCCTGACTTAGCCCATGCTGTGCCACTTTAAACTTTTGTTATAGTAAAATATGCTTAATATTGACCATTTTAACCATTCTTTGAGTGTATATAACTCAGTGGCATAAAGTGTAATCACACCATTGTGCAACCAACCATCACCACTCTCCCTTTCCACAGTTTTTCATCTTTAACTCCCTGTTACACAATGTCTCCCACTTCCGCTTCCCCCAGCCCCTGGGAAGCACAATTCTACTTTCTATCTCTAGAATTTAGAGGTTACCTCATTTAAGTGATATCTTACAATATGTGTCCCTTTGTTTCACTTTGTTTGTTTGGTGTGTGTTTTTTAATCCTCACCAGAAGATTATTTTTCTATTGATTTCTAGAGAGAGTGGAAGGGAGGGAGGAAGAGGGGGTAGAGAGAGAAACATCAGCATGAGAGAAACACATCACTGGTTGCCTCCTGCACACGCCCCAGCT